TCTAGTTGTTGCGTCTCCTGTGGGTGGACCACCAGCCGGCAGATACACGGCATAGGTCAGGAACTGGTGGATGATGCCCGACCTTTGCCATTGCATAAAAAAATACCGTCTAGACTCGCATCGTCCGGACGGTGTTAGTTAGGTGGGCATCAGCTTGTGCCTCTTTCGTATGCACTATAATAGTAATTAGTCTGTCGTATTTGTATGCATGTACCGTCGGCCAGATTGTCTATTGAATGGCTTCGACGATTGGTGTCTGTTGTTGTTTTCATAATCGTTTTTATTAGACACCGACGCGTCACGACGTGATGTTTGCCTTTTCCCTTGTTATTTGACAGGATAACTAGAAACTAGTCGGGTGGATGCTGTCGATAGAAAGCGGTGTCATGTGCCTTAATTCTATTGGCTACTCCTATTGAGTACTACGTTTTCTTATCTTTATATTGTAGTTTCTTCAGTTCAGCAACAAATAATTCTTCTATATGCTTCCTTATTTACTTTTCCCTTTTAGTTGGAAAAAAGAAACTGGTGCTAAAATAGTTTGTTAGTTTGTTTAGCGTGTAAGATCAAATACAAAATAGGGTTGCAAATAATTTTATTGATGTAAAATCAAAATCAATTATTTTTTATCAAAATATTTACAACCCTATTTTGTTTCTGATCTTTTACACATTTTAATAAGAGAAAGAAATGGAATCCATAGTTTCTTTAGGTTTGGATTCATCTAATGAGTGATTTTTTTCGAATCGTCTATTAAGGATTTTGAATTATAGGCATTTATTATGACACCACAATATCTTGTAGCTTTTAGTTTTACACAGCTGGTGTATATCAATTCGATATTGTTTCGTGGGCTGTTTTGTCGTAATTCCTAGAATTTCGTAGTCCGTTGCCAAAGGTATGATAAGTGGTGTTTCGGCAGGTGCTGATATCAATTTGGATCTTCAAAATTCCATGCACTATGACATTGAACCCGGAAAACAATCTCGATCCAATATTTCCGATTATCCATTTCCAAGGAGTTTAGAATTTTTTTGGACTCTCTTCAGTTAAAGAATTAGAAGGCATTCATGGAATGTCACTCTGTCCCCTTTTTAAGCTTCTAATACCTTCAATGGCCAATGTGAGCAATTTTCATTCATCATTTTATATAATGTTTGATCGGTGATACTAGCGAAACTTTTAAAGGCAAAAATGTATTTTGCATTTTACAAATAGAAAATTCGTTTGGAAAAGTATTTTATATAAAAAACAAAATGTTTTTCTCAAAAAAGTATTTAAATGCAAGATAAAAATAGATATTTTTTATTTTCTATTTCAATAAATCACATCTTTGCAGTAAACACTAAATTATGTTACAGTTGTATGCGTAATTTATCAATTATTGTCCTTTTTACTTGTCCTTTTTAGATCTTCTGTCATTGTTTTTCATTAAAAAATTCAATTAGAAAATTTCTCTTTTGATATCAAATAGGCATGAAGGGCTAGGGGTCAGAGACATATTAGAAGCAGAAACAGGAGTTAACAGAAGTAGACATAGACCCACATTAGATTACTGTTCGCAAATAGTTAAGGATGTACAAGGATGTTCTAATTTTAGGGAAAAGGGAAAATTAGCTCAGGATATTAGGAAAGAGTGGAAGTGCGTGTCCAACCAGTCTTAGGACTGACAAACACAACTACAGTTCATTACATAGAAAAAAATCGTTCTTTATGAATTAATTTTAACAAAAAACTTGAAAGCATCATAAATTGACAACTATCGACAATTAGTGGTACATGTCGGTAAATTAATATTAAAATAATTATACAGAAAATTGTCAGATACTGGATTAGTGAAATCGTTTTTATTAAAAATAGGTAAAAGTTCGTCCAACAACAGCAATCATGAAATTGTTCTCATTTTTAAACAATTCTGCAATACTGGAACCTTATGTTTATAAGATTATCCGAGTTTGCTGTGTAGTGGCTACTCATATCATTGCTATTTTTAACTCGTTGAATAATTGTTATAATTATATAATTAATTATACTTTTCGTAAAGGGTCTTAAAAAGTAATAAATTTTAAGATTAAGCGTCAGGTATTGCGACAGGAGAGGACTGCATAGTAACAGTGACGAGCTTCTAGTCTTATCTGCTTCGGCCTAATAATTTTTATCAATAAATTTTTATTGATCTTGGAGGTCATCGACAGCCCCTCCTACCTATCCATTTGCATTTAGTTACCTTTTTGTTATCTATTTTAGACGCGCTTATTATCGCATTTGTTAATCAAATATAAAAAGTTACATGAAATTATCAAAAAAAAAAGAGATCGATTGTATTGATCCGCGTCGTCATGATCTCCTTATAAGTATACGGTTTTACTTTGGTTTTATTCAAAAAACGGAAAGCCCCCAGTATGTATACGTATGTTTTATACTTTCTTCTTTTTATTGTAAATCATGCTCTGTCACGCAACAATTTAAATAGATATATAACCATGGTGTTAAATTAAGAACAAAATGCATTGTTTTCATCTAAAGTCCATTTTATAATATCTGTAGTTAACCTTCCCGTGACCGTTTCAATAATAATGAAACAATTACCGTTTAATAATTAAAAAACAAAAAAAATAATAACGTTGACACTTGCTTGTTACGATTACGTTGATAAAGATGCATTTTAAAAATAAATCAATATCCGTTGTTACAAATAAGCACGGAATATATTTAGCCATGAATTTTAAAAAGGGGGCACTTCTAAAAATTGTAGAGTGCACCTAGTGACAGCGCCCCAACGTAGGGGCTGTAAAAAGTATACACAAAAAGTACCCCAGTTATCGAGCCGTCAATAATTTAGTACAATTACCAGTTTGGCTGCAGCAATATCTTACCGCACTTCGTTATCGCTAGCGTCAAGTGACGAAACACTCATACCTATGTGCAACCTTCGCAACAGCTGGTACACAGACAGGTCAATAGAACATATGCACGCAGAACAAGCGACATGGTGGCCAATGAAAATGCGAATACGCGTCGTCGAGTGGTGCGAGATGACTCATTCTATTTCTTTTTCATGTAGCTTCATTTCCGTTAGTTTTTTCGGAGTACTATTCAAACGTAGTGTATAGCAAATTGGGTAATTAATTAATTCGTATAGTAAACTATTGTGAAAAAGGGGAAGAGGTAATGAAACAAGTAAATCCGGTCACTCCAAAATTTTTTAGACGGTAAAACCTTCACCTCTGAGGAGGTCAAAAACCTCCTCGATCAGTTTTTTGCCAGCAAAGACCAAAAATTTTATGAGCGTGGAATTATGCTACTACCAGAAAGATGGCAAAAGGTGTTGGACCAGAACGGTCAATATATAATTTAATAAAGTATTTGTTTATT